GTGAGTCATATGACAGTTGCCATGTTGATGGGGTCTGTGTCAAGAAGGGCATGAAGAGCTGATTAAGTTAACTTGTTCACGAAACAAGCTGGAAAGAGGTTTGTAAAGCAATTATCAATAGCTACTTCTGAGAAACTGGTTCTGTCCTTGGCTAGAGATTAGACGGTAAAGCGAACTGCTAGAGAAACATGACAAATCCAGGCAATGTTAAAATGGCTGCTCATTGAGGATACTGGCTCCATGTTACATCCTTTCAACCACGATGTACCCTGTGCATTGTGGCTATTTCATGGTCTCTTGTCTCTACACCTCTCCACATCTCTTCTATTCTCCCTAGACTAGCTTTTCTGCTGGGTATTACTTCCTAGTACTGGTGACCAGGTCTAGATCCCAACTCCAACCCTGGCCTGGAAAAGTCATTGTGACGAGTTGATGTCAGCTCTATATCCTGATCTGAGGCAGCCAGAATAGGTTGAAAGTCATATTCTGTAATCAGGCCCCAAGCATGGTTATGGGTGGGGCAATTTTCAGAGAAGGCAGTTGGTACGGTGCATGGGTTGGGCAGGTTTCCTAATCATGTTTACTACACAGTCTTACCAAGTTCTGAAGAATTCTTATATTCATGACCCCCTAGATTGGAAAACTCATGTAAAGAACAGAAAGGATCATGCTTTTATCAGTCCAAAGATTGCTTTTTCTGCTCCATCATTTCTTTTTTTTTGAGTTGGAGTCTCACTCTGTCACCCCGACAGGAGTGCAGTGGCATGATCCTGGCCACCACAGCCTCGACCTGCTGGGCTCTGGCGATCCTTCCACCTCAGCCTTCCAAGTAGTCGTAACTACAGGCATGTACTACCACGCCCGGCTAATTTTTTGATTTATTGTAGAGATGAGGTCTTGCCAAGTTGCCCAGGTGGTTCTCGAACCCGTGGGCTCAGGCAATCCACTCACCTCGGTCTCCCAAAGTGCTGGGATTACAGACTGAGCCACTAAGCCCGGTCTCTTTTTTTCTTATTGATTAGCAAGAACTTGGCCTAGATAATACACCAGCCCCCCTTAACATGAGGCCTTTCTCTAAGATCAGCCCAGCGGGTTTTATTTTATTTCATTTCTTCCCTGAATGTGCAGGTCTAGTTTAGAAAATACGCACTTGCCAAGTAGGCCTTTTTGGGAGTAATCAAATATGTTAGAAGCTGTGGTGACTAAGTAGCCGCAAAAACAACCAGTGTCTGTTAAAATTGATTTAATTATAACCTTTATAATATTATCCTGAGTGATAAGGGGGGAAAAAAGAGCACAGTTGTAGGAATTTCCAAAAAGAGAAATAAAATCTAGTGAGAGAAAAAATAGAGCAAATATTCCTGCTTTTGACAATCCAGTGAAAGTCTGAAGAATGAGGATGTGTCCCCCTTTTTGGGGGGATCCAGATTTTTATCCATATTAAGTCAGTGCATCACAGAAGGGGAACCAATTTATACATAACAATCTGTCTTTCTAAAAGAAGGTGATATTCATGTGGGGGAGAAAAAATGAAGGGGAGATGCCTCTGTCTTCATGAACTAGAATTGTTTATCTTATTTCTTACCGTTTCAGTTTCTCAGTAGTAATCTTCAAATGGAAATCTATGAGATTTTTTTTTTCCTGGGATGGGCTTCCTGTCTAGCAGTGTGGCTATTTTCACTTAATAATTACATAATTGTTACGGAAATTCTCTTTTAAAAGAATTACTTAGCCGGGCTTGGTGGCTCAGCCTGTAATCCCACGCCTTTGGGAGGCTGAGGTGAGTG